TCAATCTACACACAATACCCCATGAAAACAGGTTTTTAGAAATGTTAGCAAATTTATATATATACAAAATATCTATATATTTATATAAGTATTCAGACCCTTTGCTATGAGACTCAAAATTGAGCACAGGTGCATCCTGTTTCCATTGATCATTATTGAGATGTTTCTATAACTTAATTGGAGTCCACCTGTCGTAAATGTAATTGATTGGACATGATTTGGAAAGGCAAACACCTGTCTATATAAGGTCCCACAGTTGACAGTACATGTCAGTACAAAAACTAAGCCATGAGGTCAAAGGAATTGTCCGTAGAGCTCCGAGACAGGATTGTGTCGAGTCGCAGATCTGGGGAAGGATACCAAAACATTTCTGGAGCATTGAAGGTCCCCAAGAACACAGTGGCCTCCATAAAGTTTGGAACAGTTGTGGAAAATAACCACTATACTTTGTGGGATTAAGAATTACTTCATTATAATGTCACAAAGCCAGGCCAATCTGCAGATTTGCCCCCTCTTCTTCTCTCCCTCCATCTTATATAGTGTCCTCCACACACCATAGCTTTAAATCCCTCCCTCCTCAGTTTCCCACTCGTTTATTGCTCCGCCCACACCCTTTGTCTATGGTGGCGGCTACATTCGACTTTCATTCAGTTCAGAATCAATAGTAATACACTCAATCAATCCCTTATCTTGCAAAAATAATCATGTTTAGGTAAAACTATGTTCAACCTTGACGCCGCTCTTTATCACTTTGTGTGAGGAGAGAGTCAAAAGGCCACAAGCTAGTTTCAGTCCCTGATAAGATAAGACAGCGATGGATTTCAGTAAAAGCGAGCAATCAAACCCTAAGTCAGATTCCATCTTTTACCCACACACACAGTGAAATGACCCAATTCAGTTAGCCACAAAGAATGTTAACTATATGTTGATGATTAACTCAGTTTTACCTCATAGTCCACTAAACAATTTCCAACATATCCCCCCATATGCGATTACTAATCACATAAACTTACAAACGTATATTATGTTTATGCTCTCATTCATTCAAGGTTATACTCATAATGAACAACATCAATATTTCTACTTAAAATAATTCCAAGATAAGTGTTAGTATCCTAACACATTAAAACTAACGTAGCGTTGTTTTAACCATACTACCTAGGACATGTTTAAGAATAGTTTCAACGTCTTTAACTCACTCAGTCAGCATACAATTCATAATCATAATCAAATTACCCAAAACTAATTTAGAATGACAATTCTTAGTTAGTCACCTTGGTTCCATCATTCAAAGTTAAAACTCTCACCTTGGCACATACTGACACTGACAGAATGTACATTTATATTATCCATAATTTTAGCATTATCTTCCTCATAAAGAGAATTACAACAAATCGGTATCTCAATGCATTCCTAGTCTAAATTACTATAAATTTAGCAGTGTATAATACCTCCTTAATCAAC